AAGCAAAATAGTCACTTCATATAATATCCTTTTCCAAACAGAATTTGTCCATCGGTATCATATAATTGTACTTATTTACACATTGTCTTTGTCTTTTCTAAACAATGGGCTTTTGTACCGTTACATTTATCTTTTTATACCGCTAACCAACTTTGTGACTTTCACTCAGAACCACTTACAAGATACCGATTTAAGCCAGTCAGGGAGGCAAAAACAAGTTAAATGATTTAATAACTAATCTGTGGTTGAATGTGTTGGAGATAATGAAAAAAAATATTAACTTCTAAATGTGCATTTTTGCAAATCCTACTCTTTTATCTCACAAGCTTTATCTGCTGCACAATGCTAAGCAGACATTGCAAATATTTAAGTAATTATGACATAACAGCAGTTCAGTTTGTCCATGCAGTCCTAGCAAAACCCTAAGGAAAGCAAGCGGTTTCAGTGAACACAGAAGACAGTATTTCATTCACTTGAAAAATAATTGGCACAACACACTTAATTCCAAACATGTTCACTTATCTCTTCAGATAAGTGAAAATAATAAACAATGAAAAGAGATGGATTTATTTCAGTAACGTAGGAAGCATTCTATAGGCAACTGTTCCATAGCAAGCTTTAAAGTCAATGCAGACTCAATAATGTCATAATACATGTCACCCTTGAGAGCATGGAGATATAAACCAGTGTAGTTCCACTGCCTTAGCTGGAACGTTACTAGTTTATAACTTCTAAGCATTCTAGCCTTGGGGAGAGAAAAAAAAAAATCATCTTATTTTTCCCTTAAATATCTTTTAATAGTTCTCATGACTTTCTTCTTCCTCTTCCACCTCAATCTCTACAGCTTTCTTGAGGATCCTTTTTTTAATCTGCCTCAAACAGATATAGACAGAATATTCTGGATTGGAAGGACCACCTGGAGGTCATTTAAGCCTAAAAGCAGGGCTAATGCAAAGTTAGAGATGGGCCTTTCTGTCTGATGGAGTTCTGAGTACCTAAAATTACCTGAGATTGCACAGTCTTTCCCTGTCCACGTTCCCTCATTTCATTTTTACCCCCATTGGAAATTCCCCCATTCCACTCGGTTGGAATTTACCACGTTGCGGCTCATGACTATTTCTTCTTAATTTTTAACTAGGTGCCTCTAGGAAGAATCCAGTTCTTTCTTTTCAATGCACCTCCACTACATTGTTGAAACAATCAGATACTCCTTAGCCTTCCCTTTTCCCATCAAAATAAACCCCATTCCTCAGACACTTTCAAAAGTAGCCAAGCTGGCCTTCCTTATTCCACATGCCTGGGTGGTGCTTCTATATTCCTTCAATGTAGTTCATCCCCATTGCCACCTTCTCTACTCTTCTTGTTTTTTGGTTAAGTTGGTCAGAGGTTCCCCACTGGCCAAACCAGCCTCCTGCTATGCCTGCCCATTTTCTTACTGGTGGAGATGAACTATTCTCGAAGTAGAGAAGCAGTCCTTGTAAATGAACCACCTCTTCTGTACTCCTTTGCTACGGAGGGCAGCCTCCCACAGGATCCCACATATTGGTTTCCTAAACAAACTGAGGTCTGCTCTCCTGAAATTTACTTGCACTGTTTGTCTTCCTCTCTTCGGATCTTTCCTCAGGATCCTAAGGTTTACCAGATGTGGCCAAGGTCACTGCAGCCAAGGTGGCCACCAGCTATCAGACCCCAATCAGCTTCTGTTACTTTTTCATCTGTTTTTTTGCTGTGTACATTTGCAGTACTATTCCTTCCAGAGCCCTTCAACTTTTTTTCATCCTCGTGCCTGTCCCTACCTTTTAAACTCTTAATATTATAGTAAACTCACTATTGTGAATGAAGCTTAAACACCTTCTGAATTCTTTGGTGTGTTGTTTGTTTGTTTTTCAAAATAAAAATACACCTCTTTGATATATATGGCTGTATTTACTCCTCACAAGATTCAAACTGATGCCATATGGGCAGAGGTCAGGTTTGAATGACCGCAGCTTATTGCCCAAAGCCATTCAGGTAACACGAACACTTCTATAACTGCCTACAGCCCCTTCTCCTCCTGCACAGCTAACCTGTCTTGCATATGAAAATCAGAGTTGTGGCTAATATCTTTAAGTAAATTGCTCCAAACATTCCATCTTTAGGCAGAAATTAAGCCTCACTTTTCTGATGCGGAAGAGCTGGCATTCGCTTGTAATGGAAAATACAGCAAAGGTTGAGTATATTAAAACAGAATTAAGAAAAAAAGTAATCATCAATTCTGAAACATTCAAATTTTAAAAATAGTGAAAAAGTATACTTCTCTTTTTTTTTAATAGAGTCATCTGATCATATTCTCTTGGAAGTGGGCAACAAGGAAGACTGATGTTTGAAATGGGAACAATGCATGTAGTCATCTCTGATGCTTAATGCTTCTGCTCAGAAAAAAATAATTTTGCAAATCATTAACAGCTGAAACATCAGTGCTTCAAGCTCACCGGCGCTCATGAGGGCCTTTTGCCTTTGACTGTGACCTGCCTGTGACTCCAGGTGAGATTAAGTCAGTTCCACCTGTGCACAGACTCATCCAGCAACTTCATAAGCAACTTCATTTCGTTAGTGACTTGAAGGAGCTTGCAAACAGGAAGGTATTTCTTGCATGCTTGACCACTCAAACCAGCCACTACTGCACTAATATCTGTGCTTACAATTTCTTCTGTATCAACATCACCTCTCGTGGTACAACAAAAACCATGGCATGACTTTTTTTTTCCTGGCGCTCTGGTGTCCATGATGACACTGTCTTAAGGAACTTAAAGCAGCGTATTGCCCTATTTTCTTCACTTTTAGTGATGCCCTAGTGATTGCCCTATTTTCTTCACTTTAGTGATGTTTCCTCTGTGCTGATGGAATATTAATTCACATGGCTTGATTAAAACCCAGGAGAGGCACCTCAGTGGGCCCATCTAGGAGGATCAGGTCATTGCCTCTGATGTTGTTCAAACTATCTTGGCCACCACAGCACCTGTGAACAAGCACGCTAAACATGATACTTGCCAAGATTGGAAACAGCTCTGCTTAAACGCTGTATAGGACTTACTACTTTCGGAAGCCAATGACAAAGATTAAGACAAAACATTTTTTTTTTCTAAAGAGATGACAAAAGGGAATATTTGGAAAAGTAGTAAGTTCTGGTGTACATTGGTTGGCTGAACAGACAGATTTAACCGTTTACATTGACTACTTTCCCACTGTCTATAAAGGGAGCTTAGGTACTTACCCTAAGATAGATATATGCATTGTAGGTATTTTTAATTAGATGGCTAAAGCCAAAAAAGTCTCCCATATTCATAGAATCATAGAATGCCGAAGGTTGGAAGGGACCTCAGAGGTCATCAAGTCCAACCCCCCTGCTCACGCAGGGTCACCTAGAGCACGTGGCACAGGGCTGCATCCAAGCGGGTTTTAAAGATCTCCAAAGAAGGAGACTCCACAACCTGTTCCAGTGCCTGCTTTTGTAAAAATCTTCAATAAAACTACTCAGAATAACCACTCAAAGTTTCTCCTAAAGATTTTAATTGAGAACTTTCTGCTTAATCCAATTATTTAGTGCAGATCCATAGCTAACACGGAGCGGACTGCAGCTCCATGGAGAGCGATGGCAGCCTGTGTGTGAGGGAGGCCAGTGGTGGCTGTGACTGCTTCTCCTGGAGCAGATCAGGGTGACTTCCAGGAGGTCTCGGACCACACTGCCGTCCCTAGACACCTGGTGCCTCTGGAAGCCATGGGGCAGGGTTGTGGGGCTGGTGCAGAGCAGGGCTGTTGGGGGACCGCAGCAGCACTTCCCTCTGGCCGGGGGAGATGCTGATTGATGGAAAACATCCTCCCTGTGACCTGTTTTCAGCAAGGATGATGTTCTGGCTCCATGTGGAGACCCAGGCTTTCCCTGACTGCTGGAAAACATCCTCCCTGTGACCTGTTTTCAGCAAGGTTGATGTACGCCCTATCTGGCTCCATGTGGAGACCCAGGCTTTCCCTGACTGCCAGTTTAAGCGGTTTTAAGAAGACTAAGGGTGGGGTGGACAACCCAACGTTAAGGGGAATGCAGTGCGCTCCGTCCCCATCCAAACGCATAGGGAAAGGACGTGGCCCCGGAGCTAACGCCGAGGGAAGCGCGCAGGGGGCGGACAGGGGCACGGGCGAGGCCGCTGGGGCTCCCTGACCCCCCAGAGCCGCTTCCCGGCCGCGGGGGGCGGCTGCGCGTCCTGCCCGCCCGCGGCTCCAGCCCCGGGGCCCGCAGCCCGGCCGGGCCGGGCCGGGCC